AGAGAGAGAGAGAGAGAATTTAGACTCGTTTTATCTTGGAAATGTAAAATTTTTCATAAATATCCGAAGCAGTTTAATTCTTTAATAATTATACGATCGTAATTATTTTGAAAATTTATCGATGTCGTTCGGCCGTGCCGTGGAATAATCGTCGATACGATCATAAATTCGTTTAAACTCTCGAGAGCAAAGAGTGGAAGCCGAAATATGGGATTCTCGGCAGCCATAAAACACTGATGCTAGGCGGTCCCGAGGTTTTCCAGGCCGCTCAACGTCGCCGGTAATATTGCTCGCGATAAATTACACGGCATCCCCGATGTTCCAGCGACCTCCAACATCCTTTTTCCACGATCCTGACCATCGTCTATGAGCCTCGTTGAGAAATTTCCATGGAAATATCGCCGCTCCATTATGCAAACCGATTGCTATGAAACGTTTATTCAAAACAACCTGGAAATTTCCTCGATAACAAGGAAATTATCTCTGGAGGAACTTGGCCGAGGATCAATCGTCGCGGCGATACTGCCTTCTTTATCTTCGCCTCTTAACCCGCGCTATTATCGAGTACAGCAGTGCTCCGCGGTTGAACCGCGACCAAAGAAAATATGAGAGGAAAATTAAAAGTTCGCGAAACTCGAGTTCATCTTGGCGAAATTAAAGATGGTAGAAAAAGGAATTTGCATGATTCAATGTCGTGATTCTACGTTCTGTAAAGGTGCGAATACGGTAAAGTAGAAAAAGAGACGTAGTTTAAAAGTAAATTTGCTCTCTTCAATGAAGAACTGTGTTACTCTCGCAATATTCGTTTGCAGAAAAATAACTAAATGAAAACGTTGGCTACGTTTGAGAATAAACGTTATCCCCCTTATTTGATTTTATTCTTGATGCTTTCGTCAACAATCGTTTCCTCCCTGAAAAGGCGAAGATCTCGAGAAGCGTAGCAGAATTCCAGTGGAATAATCCAGGATAAATTGTGCGACCGTAAAATCCTACCGATGACACGACGACATCACGCGTCGGAAAACAATGAAGCCGGGACGAGCCCCGGCCAGATTTAATTTAACGCACGAGAATGATTATAAACAATGCAGCTCGTTCGAGTTCCACTCTCTCGAGCGACCCAGCTCTCTCCATTCACCCTCCTCCTCCTCCTCCCTCCTCCCTACCCCTCCCCTTCCCTCACTCCACTTCTGCCCCGACTGTGCGACATTATTGTTCGGCCTGTCACGATCCGGGATGATTTCCATTTAAAAAGAATCGTGCCACGGCTGCCGATTCATTGAATTTATAAGGCCACTCCGCTATTTTTCATCGACCTGACCGTAGCACGGGGGCACAGTATCAACGATCTCCTGGGCGAAAAACAATTTTCAAACACGACGCGCTCGTCGGCCATCCCATTCTCCCATTCAACGAACGGTGTCCTAGCCAATGTTTTCGCCCCGATTCTCCAGACAGAAGTTGAAACCGAACCGAGAGAGTTTGTTACAATTTCGAGAACTCGATGTTAATCATTGATATAACGCCGCAGAAACGGTAGAGGTGATTCGTCCTTCGTTGTGCGGAATAATTAACTTCGTCCGGGAAGTTTCGACGTTTCGTGAAACGTTTGCTCTGAATTTCGTGGATAACCTTTGCACTTCGAGCTTTGTAAAGTTTAATAGAGAAGAAACTATCGAAAAGAGGTAAATGTCTCTGATATTAAAAATGTTAATCGTCGTTGATTGTTCCATTCTTGAAAGATTTTTGTGTCTCGTTGAGAAGGAGGAGGGCAAAAAAAAAAAATTCTCTTTCGCGTCGATAAAAATAAAGGAAGATTCGTTGCATTGGCTGGGAAGCGAGGATCGTAATCGTGCATTCCTGCTGCATTTGGTTGGTCCACGCCACGTCCGTAATTTTGACCAATTTTCTCAACGTTATTCAAGCCGGGCCACGAAAACTGCCTTCGTAAATCACACGATCCGTCGTTGAAATTATTTCATGCGGAAAAAAGGGCTGAATGCCTCTGGAATCGGGCGGTAGAGGTAAAAAATTCCCCCGAAAAAATTTAAATTCGCACCTCCCCTGGCTCTCCGACCGCCTCGATCCTCGCAAAACCTCGAATCCTATAAACCGACCACCTGGCTGGCAAAAAAGATACCTCGCAAGATACCGAAAGGATTAGCTGCGAGACGGAAAGAGAGAGAAAGCGTCCTCGTAATACGTTTCGTGGTAAAAAGACAACGACACCTTTCTTTTTGCGGTCTGGAATTAATTTCGGCGGAAAAGCGACAAAATAGAAGAGACCGATTAAAATAGCGTGCGGCTACTTGTTGCGCCGATTATCGTAGCAAACATTTTTAAACGACGAGTCGAATATGCGAGTATTTGAAACGGCGGTGTAACCTTCATAAATAAAATATATATTCCTCCTGATCGATACCCCGTTTTATCTCTCTATCTACGGAATAAACGTACTACGAACTTCGTAACCCCAAATCTCTGGTGGAACGTGGATTGTTTCAATCGTGAATTCCCACGATCCCCTCCTGATCCTGATGGAACGCAATTTTCCATCAAAACTGCCTTTCTCGTTGCTCGCCCCAGGTTTCCACGAATCACGCGAGATCCCAGAGGGGTGATCACGATTCCGTTACGCACATCCGTGTCTCCATCGCGATGGAACAGGCACTCCGTAAGTAGAAACGAGGGGAGAGGCAAAGGCTTGCGAATCTCGCTTTTGCGATCGATTTAAAGGAGAAATCGATATCGCTCGACTATCCGGATCCGTGACGATTCTAATTGGGTCACGCTATTTCGATATCGTAGATCCCTTGGAAACTTCCTGTGCTCACGTTTCAAAGGAAACGAGAGGATCGTCGCTCTCGAGATTTTATTACTAGGGCTTCCATCTTGGAGCAGGCGGCCGTCCTCATCCCGTCGCGGTTACTCTCGCCTTTCGTGGACTGATCGCATTATGCGTTCCATTCGAGGCAAACGAATGGTTTACGGAGGCAAAGCGACTCCGCAAACTCGATTTCGAGATTAGTCGTAGCCTTGTTAGCTTTGGCTTTATCGATGCAGCTTCGACGCACGCGATCCTGTAATCCTCGCCACCATCCATTGTTCCCGTACACGTCGCTTTGTTCCCGTCTCATTGCAGGGATAATGCAATACCGCGAGCGATTTCGACGTCGCGACGCTCGGGAGAACCACTTTCTTCGCTTTAGCGCGGGAAACGCGCGTTAATAATGGAGGGAGAAGTGATCAAAGGATCTTCGAGATCTGACTTAGATATTCTCCGGATGATTAAATGTTGGGGTTAATTTATTGGATTAAATCCGTAATGCGATAAATTAATTGGTAACGTTATTAACAAATTTTATCTAAATTTTTTTAAATGTAATCTTTTAGCCGTGCGAATTTATTTCACCGTGTCATTAATTTATAAACGATATTATTTAAAATTCATTTGCAACTCGTTGTCCGCGTGGAAAACCGATTAATTTTACACATTTTCCGATAATGATTTAATTCTTCAAAAAACTTTACTGCTTAAATTTTCGAATTGATTCATCAACTGGGAATTTGAATAAAGAGAATTTTGAATTATGTAACTCATTTTCCAAGAATGCGAACCTTTTATATATTATATATATTAAATATCTCTTAAACTTTCCTGTCAAGAAATTATTTAAGAAACGATATTCCCTCTATACATAACTATCTTTATGCAAAATCAGATTCTTATGAATATCACTAAAGAAAATGGAGCTTGAGTAACAGAGAACTATCCTGGATTTTTCTATCCTTTTCGATAAATCTCTGTATATTCAAATTTTCTATAAATATTACTAAATATCACCTATCGAATGCGTTGAATTTCTCCACGCGTAAAGTAAACTGGTAAAAATACCATGCGAATGTTCCAGGAATCGGACAGTCTGGCGGTGTTTTCCGAGTTACTCAGATACACGAGCGTCCGCGAGTTGAGCCTGTGCAACGCCCGGCTACATCTGGCCGTCCACGAGGGTCCTTTGGCGAGATTAGGTCGCAGGGACGATGCAGGAGCCGAGTTGCTCAGAGCCGCCCCTCCTCCCGCCTGTCCCGCCATTGTATTTCTCAGGCTGGCCGGTTTTCAAGTAAGTAATCTTCTTTCACTGCCCTGCAAATGAGAACTATCCTAGCCGACTTTCTCCGCGAGTTTTCACTACTACGAATTAGATCAGCGACCGTTCGTGTTTGACGATGAGAGTCAAAACCAAGTGGCTCCCTTTGTGCCGTAAATAGAGAGGCTAATTGGGCCGTATATATCGAAACGCAACTTACCTAAGGTATCTCGAAAGCGACTATTCCAATTCCATTCTCAAAGGGGATCTTTCGAGGATCTCGCCGATAAATACTCGTGTGCCTGGTGGAACGATGCGAGGTAACGATGCGTCACGTTGAACGAGAAGTCGTGTCGACGGTATCGAGTTCCCGAAGGATTCGACGCAACACGACACATTCGAGACACTCCGCTCCACAGCGGATCGGAATCGGTCGATTCGTAATTCGAGGCCGACGATGATTCGTTTGCGGTTTGCGACCACCGGCCGTCCAAACCGCGATAGATTATTCGTCCTGTTGGGGAAACCGGTCTCGAGTGCTCGATTACGAAGTAAATCCGACTATCGATATTACGCTCTTCGATTCGTTACGTAAAACCACTTGGTAAACAACACTTCCTTAAGGCGGATCCTGTGAATTTTCTGCTCGCCTCTTCTATTCGACGAATTCGATCCACCAAATTCTCGTTTCGATCTTCTTTGATCTCGGTCGAAAGAGAAGTACGAAAGAAAGAAGGCGATATTATTTATAATGGCGTCATTATTTTGGATTCCAGGTGACAGTGAACGATCGCCTGGCGCTTCGAGGGCCGCTTCTTTTGCCATTCCTCGCCGGTTTCACAGCCCTCAGCGAGCTCGATCTCTCGTTGGACAAATCGACGATAGGAGGCAGTAGCGGATCGTTGCTGTTCATCGATGACAAAATCCTCCAACAGTTCTTCGCCTGCTTCTCCTCTCACTTCAAGAATCTACAATCCCTGAGGATTAACTTTTGGCGGATCACGTTGGAGGACAGCGAGAAAACCATGAGACAGATCGCCAAGTATCTGAAGCTGTGCAACCTGAGCTTCTTAAAGGCGAACGGATTGATCGTGACCGACAGCGCGAAGAAGGTGCAAATGGAACACGTATTCGTGCAAACGATCCTGACGCATCTACAGTACTTGACGTGGCTCTGTCTGGATGGAGTGGATCTCACGGAATCGCAGGCTTCCAGTATCGGGAAATGTGTTAGAGATCGGTTTCCGGGCACCTCGTTGGAGATCAGTGCCAAAGACGTGCACGTAAAGTCGGTGAAAGCTTTGGTCGCCGCGATAGAGGAGGGTGGAAGGGCGGAAGTCGTGTATACCGGTGGCTCGAACTGCAGACTGAAGATCACTAAGGTCCAGAAGAGTAGCAAAGGTAAAAAGAAGTGAGGGATGTCGGTTGGAGAATTCTTGGTTGTCAACGACGTGGAAATTTCGTAATTGTTCGATCAATGAAAGAATGTGGCCGTAGAAAAATAACGATTGGAATTTGATTCGTAGATGAATGAAAATGTAGATGATGGAAAATGCTCGAACGTGGGAGGGAGGGGTGATTGGTTGCACGTGATTCCAGGATAATCCGTAAATGATCCGGTGAAACGGATCTTGGAAAGAGGGAGGCTGAGAGGATGTTTTAGGATGAGAATAATGTAGTTTTAGAAAGATACGAGATCGACGGTGTTAGCCGTAAGAGGCATGTAGAATAAGAAGAGTATTCACATGAGAAAGAAAGGGGAAAGAAGGAGAGGAATGAAGCCAACACTTTGTGGATTTTCGTCTTACTGTGATTTCCTTTTCTGCGTGTTATCATTTTCCTAACGAATATAGATCTATAGATCGTAGCATTATTAGCTCGAGCATTATTCTCGATGGTCCGTTACACGCAGAAAAATGTCGAAATCGTATAGAAGAAGGATGGATAAAATATATATATATTCTTTCAATGAGAAAGAATAAATAAAACGAGATAAAAATTTTAGCAAGACCAATTACACATACGCATACGTATTATCGAAAGATATTTAAAAAATAAAAAAGGAAAAAAATAATAATAATAAAAAAAGAGGCTGTTGCAACTAGATACGTTCGTTGTTGTTAGATGGACTGTAAAATATGATTCAGAGTAATATATTATTATTATTGTCATTATTGCGATTATTATTATTATTATTATTCCTACGATTACTAGTATATTCTGATCATGATTATTAAATGTTACGATCGATTGAATTGCAATCGACGATCCATGAGTGAAATGGCTTTACCGGATGGCGTGTTGTTGGAAATTTGAAGAAATTTTATAAATTATATTCTATAGTAGTGGGTAGATAAAAAAAAAAATATGTATCCAGAGAGTAAAAGAGAGACGTCCTCGGATTTTGAATTCTATTGTACACATTAAATAGAAAATGATGGCTATTGTATAATAAGGAATGAAGAATGAAATAAAATAGCAACAAAAACACTTACTTTTTGCGAGTAAAAGAGAACGTGCAACATTCAACTGCCAAATCGTAATTGTAGATTTTATTCGCGATATCGATATTATATCAGGAATTTCTTATTTTCTAGAATAAGATACGACACGACGATTTCTATCCATCTATCGCCGAATTAGAACGCAATGTGTGATTTTCTGCTGTCCCTTTGCCAATAAAAAAGCAGAAATACGATACTGCCATATACCTTGAAAAAATGAAAATAATAGAATTAAAAAAAAAAAAAAAAGACAAAGAAAAAAAATACGTGAAACAAAGCAACGAGTAAGTTCGATCAGCTTTTGTTCAGCTTTTTGCAAAAAAGCAATTCCACGATGTTCGTTCGATTTTTTGTACTATTAGTGACAAAATTTTTGATTCCCTTTTACGGTCCATTTTAGACAGGCAGGTATAGCCTCGCAGGGACAAGAGTTCCACACGATTTTTCATTTTTGATAGTTTGCTATGTACATAAGACACCGCAAAAGATAAAAGGCATCAAAGGTACGATCTGCAAATTTTGTGAGGCCATTTAAACTACTAATTCAAGCGGTGAGAGACTGAAGCTGACACCATACGCGCCTAAAGTACATTGTCCAACGCGTTCAAGATCGCTTTATCGTCTGGAATCAGCTTCAGTAATTTTATTATAAATATTTATGTATTTATATGTGTATACATATCCTTCAAATAAATGTAATATGTGTTTGAAAATTTGTTGTAAAGATGATTTCCCATATCGATAAAAATTACATATGTATAGTCTTGATAAATTTTCCTTTGATTAAATTTTCTATTTTATAAAAAGATGTTATCTTAACAAGAGGGCTTTGTGTGAATATGGAAGTCGAAAATTATTATAAGCACTTTTCTTTATTATTTACATTTTAGAAGATATACTCTTCTAAATTTTTTATTTATACAATTATGTTAATAAAACATAACAATGTTGACTTTCATCTCGGAAATTACATTGCTCTTCGTAGAAGTAATTGCATCGGATAGAACTGCAAATAATTCGGTCATTTCAGTGTACGATGGTACAGCAATTCGATAGAAAAATTACTCTACATTATCACTAAATATTCTAATTGTTTCATTTCATTCTACCGATATCTACATTTTGGCCTATATCATCACAATCTCAAATATACAAGTAATATATCTTGACTATAATGGAATGTCCTGGTCGTGCTTAAAATTTATGTTTATAAATCTGTTGTTAATTCTAATTTCGTAATTTGTCTTGAACAATGTATTACTGCATTAATAAAAAAACGATGAAAAATTTGGCTGACATTTTGCACTAACTGCATATGTTACACCATGCTTTCTCTATGAAACATTTTATTTCATTTTAATCGCTTCTTATTTTAAATGAAGTGAGAAAATGCCATTGCTATTAAAATTTTACTTTTAAAAAAGTATTTCCTATTTTGACATCATTCGCAATTTGTTTAAAGAATATTCATCAATGATAACATCAATGATGTTTCGTTAATATAAATATATGTATATTGCCACAAAATGATCTTGTACGTATTAATTATTTATTTAATATCGATTAGATAAATCCACTTAATGTGGACAGCACGTCAAAAGTACAATTTATTTAAGGAAAGCACAATTTCATTTCAATTTAAACATAAGAATATTGTTTTATATATTACACTTTATAAAGTTATATTTATATATAACGTATATTTCACACTTTTTGTATAATAATGACTAGCAGTCTACAGCTGCTTATAATATAATTATGGCCATTATAATTAAGTGCGGATTTGATGATTTCCTTTTATTTTGCACACATTTGACCATGAAGTTTGAATTTTTTTGTAAATAGATATTTTATACAAAAAAATAATGCAGTAATAAAGGTGAGGTAAAAACATTTTTATAATTGTGGCTTCAATTAACCCTATAAAGATAAAAAATGTAATTTGATGTATTTTCAAATGTTTTTAAAATGTTAAATGCAAATGTTATAATATAAAGATTTCTATAGATAATATAAAACGTTATTTAAGATTTTATACAATAGTACAGGATCAGAGTTATTGTAAATAAAAATAAGCTACAATTTCATGAAATATATATATCATTAATTATAGATGAACAAATATCTATATTTACAACAATAAGATTAGAAAGAAATGAAATCAATGATTTTTATTTGCAATGGACAAGTCAAAAATGCATTAGCTTGACCACAAGACCTATTCTCTTAATAGGATTCTATGTCACATAAGTTCTGGTATATCTTTTCACTTTTTTTTTTTTAGATTTGAACAGATTTTTAAATAATCTGCAACCCAAGATGATATTCACTGTTACTTAGGACAAAATATCTGCACAATTTTAAAATGGCAAAAATATTTTGCACGAGTGCAATATTTCTTGCTTGTTTCTGACAAACTCCACAAATAAATACAGTTTTGGAGCACTTGTATGAACACTTAATGACATGCATAGTTTTCATAGATCACATAGGTGCGTAATCTAATTGAACAGTTAAATGCCTTACTCCAGCAGCTTGAAAAATCATCTGAGTGTGTGCTACAACATATTTAGGCTCTACTGTTCTGGCAACTTCCAATTTCAAGCACCCGACGTATACATCTGAACAAAGTGTCCAAAAATGTGGTTCTTGCACACTATATACTCCAGCTAATTGTGTCACTTTGTTATAACACTGTGGTAAAATATGATCCAATGCAGCTGGTTGTCTTTGCATTAAAATTTCCCATGAATCTTTCATTAAAGAAAGCACACTTAAAACTATCAATACTGATATCAGCATGGAACAAATTGGATCAGCTATAAACCAACCAAATAAACGCATCAGTACTGCTGATATAATTACACCTACAGATCCAAGAGTGTCTGCTAAGATATGTAAAAAAACTCCTTTCATAATCTGAGAATTTGTACCACTGAAGGAAGGATCAATTTCGATATCATGATGATCATGACTATGACTGTGGTTTAAATGAGATTGTGTATGACTTCCATGAGAATGGGAATGGGAATGACCATGTCCCATTCCATGACTATGTCCATGTCCATGACGAAATACATACATTCCTACTAAATTGACTATTAATCCCATGATGGACACAACCAAAAGTCTTTCGTGTTTAATCTCTGGAGGTTCAATAGCTCTTTCCACAGCTTCAGACATAATGAAGAGAGCAATAAAGAATAAAAGCAGAGCGTTGACAAATCCTCCCAAAACTTCTGCTCTGACATAACCATAAGAATATCGTTCATTTGCTCTCCACTTTGTAATAACTGATGCAGCCAAACCAAATAATAAGCCAGTACAATCAAAGAACATATGGAAACTATCTGATATTAAACCCAAGCTGTTTGTCCATATTCCATACATTAATTCAATGCAGGCAAAGGATAAATTCAATAAAAGAAATAAAAACAAATTTCTAGTATTTTTGTCAGAAAATATCAAACGTTTCCATCCTAATAATTTCTCCTTTATTCTACTGCCAAGGTTTCTTGAATCTTTATGTGAAAGTGGAAGCATTTTCATAAGCACAAGGTGGTTTCAGTAATGAAGTTTATCCTAAAAATAAAAATAATTTTTTATTATATTAAAACTTTTCATATGTTTATCAAAAATTTAATTTTCATAAATGAAAATTTTAATTATATTTATATTTCCATATTAATACAAACATTTAAATATTAATCTTGTATATCAAGAAAAATATTCATATTATAAGACCAAAAATATGTTAAGCATATAACAAACATAGAACTGTTTAACGATAACCTCACTTATCTGTTAATATCTGTTAATCAGTAACTACTGTATATAGATATTATAAATCAGTTTTAATCTGAGATTAATTGTCATGTTGTTAAATTATTTTATCAATTCGTTCAATGTTAATACACGTAGAGTAAAAACACATATGACACGTCGCAAGTGAAAGGTATCTTAACCTTATATAAAAGTAATGATCAAAAAAAAATAATTACCTTTTCGTATAAAACTAAATATAAAGGGATGTTTATGATTGATTAAATTATACCGAACGATATTCTTAATGTGAATACATTTTATAAATGGGTCAAAGATGTGAAAAACCGGGACTCGAAAACACACAGCGTAGCGCCATGCTTCACACGCTACAGCCACTCCTGAGTGACTGACAGTCTGATTCGTGGTTACTCGAAACACGTGTACTGCGTTGTATAAATTCATCTCAACAATTTTATAATAAAAAAATAATTTTAGTTAAATAACTAAATTATTTAATTATTAATATGTCATTTTTTAAATTTTTTATTCTTTTAAAAATAATATTTATTAATGTAGTGAATTGTAGATAGCGCTGAATGTAACGAGCATTCAAAATGGCGATGTACGCACTTCCCTTTTCTTTCATAGTCGACAGCCATCATGGTGAGTATTTGTGAAAGAAATGTTTTAATCATGTTTTAATATTTATCTTAAAAATTTCGTAAAAATTACTTTTCTATATAGTGCAGTGATATTATTTCAAGAATTAATTTACAAATTTTATACAAATTTTATATATGCCTAAGTAGATAACCTTTCTCGATAATTTCATCCACATGGTGTATACGCGTAATGCAAAAAACACATTTTATTTGAATATCATTATATTCAATTAAAGTATGTTTTCGTTAGTTTTATAGAATTATACTAATTTTGATGCATTATATATGATAAAAAATATTATGTTTTCATTAAGAAATCATAACTTCTCTTGTTGTCTCAATGTTTTGTTGACATTGTGAAGAATTATATTAAATAAAATAATTATTTACGAATTAATATTTTCTTTAATTAATTATTGTGATGAAAAACTTATTCTTGATTAAATTCATGATAGTATAATATTGATTAAATGAGCCTGATTATATACTATAGTACAATAATATATACTATTCGATTATAATATTTATTTTTTTGTAAATATTTGTTCTAATTTCATTTAATGTTTCAGCCGCCTAAAAAGGACACAAAAGGATCTTCAAAACAACCACAAAAAACACAAAAGAAAAAAGAGGGAGGATCTGGTGGCAAAGCCAAGAAAAAGGTTAGTATCATAGTTATTATAGATATTTATCATAGATATTTATTTATCAGAATAATAACTTATAATTTATAAAATAAAATATCATATGATGAATATTTACAAGCTTGATAACTCATGGAAGCTAAAAAGCTGATTTAATGAGCCTGATATATATATTATAATAAATAAATTTAAGTAGATGAACATGAATAGATATATTTTACATTTTTTATTTATTTTTTTTATCGTAGAAGTGGTCCAAAGGAAAAGTACGTGACAAGTTAAACAATCAAGTATTGTTTGATAAAAGTACATATGAAAAATTGCTGAAGGAAGTACCACAATACAAATTGATCACGCCATCCATTGTTAGTGAAAGGTTAAAGATTCGTGGGTCACTTGCAAGGAGGGCATTGATTGAATTGCAACAAAAGGGACTTATTAAACAAGTTGTACAGCATCATGCACAGTTAATTTACACACGTACTACTAAGGGTGACGATCCAGCTGCGTAATTTGTTTTTACGCAATGTATAATACCATTTAATAAAAAACATCTATAAATATAAATATTGATTTATTTCAAATCAAAAATATGAATGACACGTCACAAAAATAAAAGGTATCTTAATTTTTAATCATGTCTTAACCTATTAATTGAATTAGAAAAAAATATGTAATATATTTATAAAATATATCGTGTGTTTTTAAATATATTATATACGACGTGAATATGCTTTAAAATCGAATCTAAGTATGGCGAAATCGCACTCGCGAATCGATCGTTTGTTGTTTTTAAATATAATGGCTGTGTTCGAATGAGACACGGATCTTTTCCTCTGCCCCGTTCCGTACCAGGTACAAGCTGGTGTCGCTCAAAATTCTAGTGCACGCAGCCATTTGAAATGACAGAACGGTTCCCCGACTCGGGTTCATCGACGTGATATTCAGCGAGGCGTCCTTCGGCTCCTTACGGAGCGCGAATTGCAGATCTCTAACAACAAAATTGATCAAATCACATTCAAGGAAGGTGCGGGTAGACATTTCAAAGGGGGAAAAACTTGTCAACGATATAGAATAAAAAAGAAGTAAGTTTTAGGTATAAAGGAACGGAAGAAGAAGAAAGAGTGTGCAAAGAAGAAGAAAGAAAAAAAGAATCAGTTATCTGTTATCAGGATCCGAAGTCCAATGAAGATCCACTGGCATGGCCACGCAACTCAGCCCCCGAAATTCGGAGGTGAACGCTCTTGAGCAGCGGGGCTATCTTATTGGCAAAAAAATCGGACAGGTTATTTACCTCCAATCCTGTATTCCCTACCTGTTCGTTAACCTCTTTCATTTCCCCTCTACCTGCTTCTTACATTCCCTCTGCAATATTGCGTCGTTTGTTTCTTTTTAAACTGTAGATTCTCTCTCAATTACTCTCGTGTTTTCATTTCTTTCGTTGAACGATTACTTTCTTTTTTTTTTTTTTTTTATTTACTTTATATTTTTTACTTTTTATAACATGAATTGTTTTTATTTTTACCAAATAATTACTCTTGAAGGCAAACTGGAATTTTTAGGGCTCGTATGCGACCGTACACCTGGCCGAATATGTGGACGGGACGAGCTCAAAGAAATTACGATTAGCCTGTAAGATATTCGACAAAGAGAAAGCACCGCTTGATTTCCTCAACAAGTTCTTTCCTCGTGAACTCGAAATCCTTACAAAGATCGAAAATCCCCATATCATTCAAGTAAGATGTCCATACGAAGAGAAGAATACGTTACTTAACATTCGATAAAAAAAAATTACAGGTGCACAGTATATTACAGCGTGGTCCAAGAGTCTTCATATTTATGCGTTATGCGGACAATGGTGATCTCCTGGACTTTGTAAAACGGAATGGTGTTGTACCGGAACAACAATCAAAGCTCTGGTTCAGACAGATGGCTTCCGGTCTGCACTATCTTCATGGAAAAAATATCGCCCATCGTGATCTTAAATGCGAGAACATTTTGTTATCCAGGAAGTTCAATGTGAAGCTTGCAGACTTTGGTTTCGCGAGATTCTGCGTTGATCATGAGGGAAGGCGCGTTCTTAGCGAGACCTATTGTGGCTCCGCGGCATATGCAGCGCCGGAAGTTGTTTCCGGTACCCCCTATAACCCGAAACTGGCCGACGTCTGGTCGCTTGGGATAATCCTATTTATCATGCTAAATGCCTCCATGCCTTTTGACGATTCGAACTTGAAGAAGCTGTTGAAAGATCAAATGTCGAGGAACTGGATGTTTCGATCGCGAGTGCGGGAAACAGTTTCTGCGCTTGCAAAGAGCATTGTTAAACATATCCTAGAACCAGATATTACTTTAAGGTTAACATTGGAAAGGGTTCTAGGCCACGAGTGGGTACGCACTAAAAAGGAGAAGCCTGGATCTCTTACCGGTCGATTAGTACATTCAGCACCGCCTATTCACGCACAGGTGGTTGATTATTTACATTTACATTACAAGAAAAAAAATTTTTATTTATTTTGCGTTCCCATGTTTTTCGATTCTTTTAATTTATATTAGACTTGTGGAGGTGGAGGAAATTTAGTCGGGGCAGGAGCTGCAGGTAACGTACCCGTGGTATTAAGAGGTCTACCTTCGTTCAAGAATGCTGACAATCAAAATCATGGTAATGCCGTAAAGTCTACGGACAATCCGGGTAAAGATACACAATTGTCCGCCATTGAGTGAAGAAACATGGGACCGACAAGGATGAACCAGCGTCGTTCGTACGTCGAACGTCGACGAATACACGAATGTTTATAATATATTTTTTTACTTTCCTGATTATTGTTGATCTATACATGGTTTTTAATAACGCATTCTTTTAATAAAAAAATATCACTATCAATTTTAATCGTGGCTAAAATTATGTGAACAACAATTTACCATAAATCGGAAATAAATCTAAAAAAATGATAATAATTAAATTTATTGTACAACTAGCATCTATCAATATACAAAACTATAATTTTTACACGTTCGAAAACGTGATATTAATATAAGAAGATAATATGTAACGGTACAAGTAAATATTTTTAATATATATAGTTTACATTAAAACAACAAATAATTTACACAATTTAATATATCTTCGCGTCTAAGTCAATCTCGCTCAGCATAGCACCCCTGATGTTAAAACTACACGTATATTTTGCCTGAAAGAGGTTGACTTGGCGAGAAAAAAAAAATTAGAATAAAGAATATTATCTAGTGAGGTTGAGGGCAGCTCGAATATAACATGCTTATCTGTAAAGACATTAATTAGTTCGTGATCTTCAACAACATTGCGTGTAGAAAAGGGCGCGGTTTAGTCTGATCGAATCTTGTGCGTGTTTTACATTTATGTTCTACGTCAACAAGACATCAGTAAATATTATTTTGTGATCATATACAAAATTCGCTATTAACCCGCTAAATTGCTTTACAAACTTTTTTTGTCTTCAGGTTACAATGGTTCGACCTTCTCGCACTTCAGGTGAACGATTAATTCGCTAAAAATGATTAATTTCCTATGTGAAATAAAAATTACGCTCTTAATGAGCGCGGCAATTGTATATAAACGATACAATTTCTCTATTTACAAATACTTTAACAAAAATCATCTAAAGTTATATTTAAGTATTTTTTTACAAATGTCAACCAACGTGTCTCGTTGTTTCTCAGATCAGAGCTTTCCAATTCCACATTTATGACAACAAATTATGCTTCGATAAATGTAAGTTTTTTTTTTTTTTAAAGAAATATCACCTCACAAATTTCTCACGACCCGTTAAACCCATCCACCAGTTAATTTATGAAACATCTCTTCATTCAACGTTTGATTTGCCTCTTTCGATCGCATCGACAAAAATATATATCCTCCGATGAACTCGTGAACAACTTTACAGTCTGCGGACTGACATTCAAAGATAATATTCTCTTCCTCGAATTGGACCATCATATGCTTCACTTCCCAGTTTACGTTCCATGCCTGTACAAATAAGATATCGATAATAGAAAATCTTTGCAAAGATTAAGAAAAAAAAAAATTTCTTAACTGTTTATACACCAGATCGATCCACTTACCTTCATCGTGTTGTATCTCCAAGTTTTCAAGTGATCACCACTGTGCAGCTCCATCCGCATCAGCCTATTATTAGCAATACCCAACAGTTCGTCCTTGCTCTTCGCAGTGAATCTGACTACGAAAAGAGAGATCCCATACTCGGGAAGAGATTGCCAGGCTTTGATGTAATTCAATTTGGCCTCGATCAAAGGTAGATCCTTGACGTTGGCGTGTGCTTCTAAAATCCTTTGGACCAACTACGAGAAACGAAAGACGAATTTACGAACCGATGCGAAAAGGATCGTATAAATATATATATGAAACCTACCTTTCCTTTGAACTTCTTCACGAATCTAGGAGCAACATAATCCTCGGGCACGATATCAAGAGCGTTTGGATTGATCGCAGGTGCAGGGGCGGGCCTCTGCAATTGCAAGAAGGCAATGATACTGTTTACCTCGCTTTCGTAAGAAGCGTCCGCGAGGGAGCGACCCTTGGCTGCCAATCTACACGCTGCCATCCATTTGGCATATTGCTGTTCCTGTGCAACAGAGAAGCAGAGAATTTAATAATAATTTTCATCCGGTGACAGTAATCGATAATTAATTTCAACTAGTCGCCAGAGAAGAATTTAATTAAATTTCAATCGCGAGTGTTGGCGTTAGACGAGGGCGGGGCTAAATGATAGACTCACGTTGTCGCATCTGATCCACATCTCGGTCATGCCCTCGGCACTGGGCACCTCCAACCTGATTCCATAGCGACCTTGCGAGAGATGGACATCGGGCGTGACCTCGCATCCACGCAAATTGATCACGTGGGCAGGCGACTCGGTACCGTTCGTCTCCTCCCGGCTCTTGTACAGTCTCAACTGAAGGTCCCTGCACGTGACCCAATAGCGTTTAAACGCCTTCAAGGTGAAACGTTTGGGCTTCAAGAAACGCAGGTAGTCGCACAACTCGGGCACTTGAGTGATGTCGCTGGGCCCGTTACTGATGTTACTGCCCTCGAGGGTCACTTGGAGATCCGTCAAGGCTGCGTCAATGTCATCCTCGATCGGGGAGGCGGCGCCATTGCTGTCGTAACTCGGCTGCGGTACACTTGCCTGAAGATTCACTTGCACCTGTGACACGGAATACAAATGTGACCGACGCCCATCTTGCTTCTACTTGCTTGGGTTATAGGCTTCTTCTTCTTTTTTTTTTTTTTATCCAATAACCGTGACGCGATTAATCGAGAAACCGTGTAGGCGGCCGTGTATCGGAAAAACGACGCGAATGTTTTCTCGATTCGATTTAAGGAAACGAGATTTGCATACGAGAAATAAACTGTGCGCGGAGGCGATTTACCGTAGAATGGGCGTAGAATGTCTTTAATTGGCCAAGTTCCGTGCCGATCGAGCTTGCTCCGTCGCAAGTTTACTTTCTATCGTCTTTTACTTTTACCCACGATAATCTTTCCTCAATTTTCAGTTCTCCCAAAGCTGCGAGCT